AAAATTTAATAACGGCAACCACACGTCTAAGGATTTCTTTCCAGTATTGCTGTTCTGCCTCACACTGTCTGCATGCGTATTTAGACCTGTGCAATAAAGAAAGCAGGTTTTGTCTGTGTTCTGCACTCTTTTCATGATCACTAATCCTCTCTGGATGTTTCCAATCACATAATCCCCTATTAAATGTATGCTTTTGGGATGACAGGAGTTTGCAAACATAGCAATAGACTGATCCAGTTAATGGCGAGTAAAGAAGCCATTCCCTTGGCACAATTTGATTGTTTGGGAGACGGCAATGAAGCAGATCGTTGGTGAGGGAGCGTGTCCTACTCCCAAGTCCGGACTCCCTCACCGATTTAAGATACTTGCAGTCCGGTTCTGGAAAGCTGCAGGCCCTCGGAAGATCGCCTCTTTCCGGAGCGGCTCTGTAACCGGCCCCCACAGTGCAGGGCCCCCAGGGAGCAGAGGCGTTGAGGTACAGGGGCTGCTCGCAGACTCGACGAGCGGTTCAGATGGCGGTGAGACTCGAGACCCATCACCGCTTCCCTCAACGGTCGCACTCGCAGCAGAATCCGGGCCGTCGGTTGAAGATGCTGCCGGGGCGTGTAGCGGCGCTTGACATCACGCGACCTGCTCAGTGCACGTTGATTGGCGTCACCTTTGACCTGCCTCATACGGGCTGACCAATGAGGAGAGGGTCTCAGCTCACGGTCACAGTCACAGGCGCAATGGCCTCCGGTGGACAGTTTAACATATAATCGAGATATAACCAGATATTTTGCTTGTGCCTCACTGCCCTGGGGCCCTTAGAGGTCGTGGATTAACCGGATATGGTTAATCCGGCCTTGAGTGGGGCCAGCCCCCCAGATGTCATCCAGGTATCTGTAATAATGTGATGGGTTTTTTGTTTGCAGACTGCCAGGGCCAGAGGTCTCCCATTCAACTCGGCCATGAAAATGTTTGCATAAGCCGGTGCAAATTTTTTGCCCATGGCAGTGCCTTTAATCTGCAAATAAAATGTATTGTCAAATTCAAAATCGTTTCTCCTGAGGTTTATTTTTAGGAGTTCTATCAATTCTTTTTCCGGTCTTTTTTTGTCTTGAAATTTAATAAATATGTTTTTTATGGCCTGAATGCCTTCACCAATATCAATATTTGTGTACAGACTGTCGATGTCCATTGTGACAAGGATGGAGTCGGGGGCGATCTGGAGTTGTTGAACTGTATTTACGTATGAACTGTATTTAAGTGGTAGGTGTCCTTGAGATAGCCGATGTGTTTATTTGAAAGGGGATTAATATAGTGATCGATAAATTGAGCTGTGTAGTAAGTCTCACTGTCACAGTCCGACACTATTGGTTTTCCAGGTGGGATCTCAAAGGGGACACTCCATTTAGAGTGCTCCTTGTGAATTTTAGGCAGCAGGTAGAATAGTCTGGGCCGGGGATCGGGTTACCCAACAGATATGTATATTGTTTTTTATTTATAATTTTTTTATTTAACAATGATTGAATGATTGGTTTAACCAGTTTTTTGGTTTCAGGATAAATGGGTTCTTTTAAGACCGAATAATATCTTTTGTCCTTTAATTGTCTGTTGCCTTCAAATAAATAGTGTTCTCTGATAATAACTACTGCACTGCCTTTATCAGCTGGTTTTATAATAACGTTTTTATTTTCTGTTAGTTCCTTAAGGGCTTTAATTTCGTCTGGGTTCAAATTGGTCCTGGTTTTGAGTGGCTGGAAGTTGTTTTCAAAATAATTCATGTCCGATTTGATAGGGGTTAGGTTTAGGGTTAATTGGCTACCAAATTGGGAGAAAAGGGGAGAAAATCTGACACAAATTTATGAAAAAGGGAATGTGGGAAAATAGTGCCTAATTTTGGAAAAAAAATGTTAGAAATGTGAGAACTGTGGGAACATAGGCACGCTCCCTTCAATGGAAGTTTCACAAAAAGCATCATGAAAAATACTCACCGGCATCCAAACTACTAACTTACTCACAGTGTTTTATTCTTTCTGACTCACCGACATATTGTATACTGCAAGAAAGACAGGAGACGAGGCAAACACAGTTTTTGGACTGGGGTTTTCAGCAGGCCATAGTCTTAAAGACTGTTTTTATTAAAGTGGCTGCGTATCCACGTGGCGTGTTTAAATAATTCTCTATGGCCTCTGGGTTTAGAGGTAGTTAGGGGTCTGATTTTTGCTCTAACCAGATAATCCTGGAGGTTTTTATTGTTTGTGCCACATATGACAACATAAGTCAGACAGCAGACTCAGTAATATTAGTCAGTGATATTAGTGGAGCTGTAATGCAATGGACAAACAGTCCAGGAGTCACTACAGCTGCTGTGTGCTAATCAAAGTCACACAATCTTACCAAACAAATGAAGTCCTACAGTTTGACCATTTCTCTCACTGCAGCTCTATTGTTAACTCAGTGCTCATTTATCAAGTGAACTTACATACAGCAGCAACACACACACACTGGAGGGGCTTCAGTATAAAGACTAATGCTAATAAGCCAATGCTCCGTTAGCTAATGGTAGCAGTTAGTAGAAAGTTACACAGTTTGTGATTCTCCCTTGATATTACAACATAAAGTCCGATATCAGACCTAGTAATACTATTACTGTAATTGCATTAATGCTAATGGTTTATATTATTCACTGTTTTACTTCATGAACAGCAGTTAGCCACTACAGCTTCCCCGTGCTAATCAAAGTTATACAGCCTTACTAAACAAATAAATTCCTGCAGTTTGAACATTTATTCCTTACACATAGCTCTGTCTTTACCTCCGGTGCTCGTCCATCACGTGAAATTACATACAGCAAAACACACACACCTGAACAGAGAAGGACTTCAGCTAGCTGGCTGAGCTAACATTAACACGTAGGTAGAAACTTACACAAAAAGCAACATGAAAAACAATTACCAGCATCCAAACTACTACTCCTGATATTTTTTAGCTTCTCACAAGGCTTAACGGTCACACATGGGCCCAGCCAAATATGTGTGTACAAACATTAGATGAGTGCATTTTGCATAATATGTCCCCTTTAAATAAAGCTTCCCTGATCCCCTTCTCATGGGTGCTTCCCAGCTGAACAGGAGACAATAGAATATAACAGAATGTCTTTAGTGCCACTATACACATGTACAATGGAGATTAAAACCAAATCAGCAGTGCAAAAACAGTGTAAAGAATAATAAAAAAATATATACAAGTATACAAATAAGGACACATAAAGGTAATAGTGCCAAAAAAAGGGAGGTACAAGTGCACAGATCCTGAAGGAGTAATGTACATACTATGCAAAATAAATATACGTGCATATAATAACCAGTTGTTAAATGTAAATAATAAGTATAATTACGTCAACATTATGTTCATTTCAAGGGGGAATGATTGAACATTGTATGACGTATATCGCACAGCAAGAGTAAATGGTATTTTAACACTGTTTGATCGTTAACTCGAAGAGGTCCGGGGGTTGGGGTGGTTGGAATGATTTTGAGTCTAGGGCAGGACTTTGTGCGCAGATCCCTGAAGTCCAAGTCCCCTTCGGTTACTGACTTATTTTTAATTCCTTCTTACTCACTGGTTTTATACCCCTCTAGTTTAACAAAGACAAAAGCTATGGACATCTGGGAAGACAAAGATGAGAAGGTATAAGGAAGGAGGTAACACCGTCTGATCCGAGGATGATCAATTCACAGGAGTTCTGATGGCTAGTTTATTGCTGACCCCTCTACGTAATCCTCATTTCTAATTCTTGGCGCTGTGGTTACGGACATTGTGGCTTAAGACGGCATGTAGAAAAACCACCCGGAACCAACCAAGCAATGTTTTAACCTTTATAAAATGTCCCCTCAACACACATAGCGGAGACATCTCTGAGCCACTCATATCTTGAACCTGGCCCTGCACCAGTTTTCCCTTAACTCCTTCCTGTTGGCGAACCATACTAGCCATCTTTCACTTACCTATCATCATCCACCATATCCCTCTGTATATACAAGCCATCCCTGATCCTGCTCAACCAAACTCTCCAACAGCATAAATTATCTCAAAGCCAAAACTAATTTGTGACTCCATGCAGCTAAAGTTAAAAAACAAGTTTAAAGTAAAACACTAACAACAATAATCAGATAAAAGATAAAAGAAAAAATCTTACTGTCAGGCTCCCCTGATGGCTCACCATCATGAATTGGGACGCCCTGGGGAGAGGAATTCCAACCAACCCGACACCGCACCATCAGCCTCAGACCAATCCTGCATAGTGCTGATAAGAAATACTAAATGACACTGCCAACAAGTAAATTCTTACACTTATGGGAACCAAGTAGGACCCAGGAAACATAAACCTTTACAGAAGTCCACCAGGTAAAGCGAACACTAATCTGGTCACAAAAAGCAGTGAATATTATCTAATTGAGTGGATTCTCTGCATAACCTAATTATTGTTATATTCATCTTAGAAAAATGACC